AGAGAGTGACACAGCGAACGTTCTCGACACAACACAACACAACACACCTCTCTCTCTCTTCTGGTCAGACAGAGTCCCTAGCTCAGAACAAAACATTTCCTTCCTCTCTAAACAACTCTAGTAATAATAATAATAAAAATAATAATGATAAAAATGCAAACACAGAGATAATAACGAGTTGACAAAAAAAAGGTAAGTAAGTACAATGGAAAATTATAGCTCACTTGGACAAGAATGAATTGTGCACAAAAACAAAACAAAAAATGAAATCTGAATACAAAAGTAGAGAAAAGGGTATTGCAGCTTGTGTGTGGTGTGTTATTACATCAGGGAGGGGAACAAAAAAGTTACGCAGCTTAATAAAGTTTCCGGCACGTACGACGAAGTGCTGGGCTGGGTAAAACAAAACAAGAAACGGTTACATGTTTTTTTTCGTATAAAAGTTTTGGTCATCATAAGCCCACAGCGGTGCCGGCGAGAACAAGCCAGGGGACAACACTCTGCGGGGACTGCCAGAACTATTGCCCTATATAAGATATTTCTGTACACAAATCAACCCCTTTTTTCCCTGATTTTTTTTTCTTTTTCAAACAACAAAACAGGACCCATCATAGTCATTTCATTAATGGCAAAAACTGACAAATGTGAGGCGCGCTGACAAAATGAGTTACTTCTCGCAATTCAGGAGCAGAGATATCGGCCGAAAATCGACACCAGGGTCAGATGGATAGATTTCTTATTGATGCCATTTTGTTCGAGTCGGCCGTGTCTTTTCATATTCTATATATTTACAAATTGGACAAACTCCAACTAAAAAGTCGATGTATTCATTTCCATAAATAAGGCTAGAATCCGAGAAGTGACTCATTTTGTCAGCTCATCTCACAAATAGAGGCCATCCGTGAGAACAAAACTCTCTAGGCCTTACGCACAATCTAAAAGAAAAGGTACATACGGAATTTTCCACCATTTCATAAAACATTCAGCAGAATCACCAACCAAAAAGCTAGCCTCACCAAAAACCGTTGGGAACATAATAATACAGACTTATCATACGACATTACTGTTGTTTTTTCACCCGGTTTTACAACACTATTGCAAAAAAAAATTAAAAAATCAATTAATATATTTGTATTTTGTTAGAAATCAGCTAAAACTTAATTTTTAAAGACGACAATGAATTATTATGAATAATTCTTGTTGACAAAAAAATTATTTTTTTTAAAATCAAGAAGAAAAACTGACAAAATTACACGCTCACAATTGACAACACGCTAAGCGGCTAAAGCAAGACACATCCAAAGAGTCAAAAGTCAGAGCAGTAAGGCTAAAACCAAACATGAGCTAAAACGGCATTCCTTGTACAACAGCCTACCTATGTGCCATAAAACAGAGAAAATAAAGACAGGACAAAACAGAGAAAATAAAGACAGGACAAAACAGAGAAAATAAGGACAGGACAAAACAGAGAAAATAAAGACAGGATATTTCATGATTCACTTTGTTTTCCTCAAAACTGTGCAATTGACCCGCACGATTATCGAGCGTGTTGGTGATCTTCTTGTCCCTGCCAATGATCCCAAGCTGAGGTAATTATAATTCATCGAGGAAAGCTACCTTCAGTCATGTATGTATATATCTAGATCTATCTGAACACAAAGTCACGCCGGGCTCTCTCCCCCCACAGCGAGCGTTATTATGTACACAAATTTGGGGTCCGTCCACTTGACCAGGAACGAGCGTGATATGACACACGATGGTTGGATGGATCCACCACCAACTGCCAGTTGTACAGTCCATCGGCCACCCCCCCCCCCTCCATAAACACGTCTGTCATTCCTCTAGAACAACAGGGGAGAGGCAGCGCTAGTTCAAAACAGCATTTTAGTAAGAACCATATCTTTCCCTAAAAAGAGCACTTATAAATGTCATTTCTCGGGCCACAAACACATTATAATCAGCTGAGAAAAATGTAACAAGTGTAAGCAGATAGTGATAAGATCAGCATGCCCTCAAAGACAGCCAATAGAAGATTATACGGTACTTTTTTTTTTTATCTCAATGACCCCTGGCAACTAACGAAGCACCCTCTCTTCCTTTCAAGATCCATCTCCCACAAAACAACGACGATCACAACAATCTAACAAAAACCATCTTTGGACTCACAGAGACAGCAATCCATTCAAAAATCTTTGGCACCGGGTGAGGGACAGAAAAAATAATGATTCAACTTTACACGAGATTGCTGCTACAAATACTGCCGGATGCATCGATCGCATTGCAAGGCAGTGCTGCGACTGACTGACTGACCTTTTACGACAACATGAAAAAGTCGATACCTTCAGAGAGAGGGACACAAAACCTGCAGAGCCAGCTACCAGCTCCTCTTCACTACACCCTCACACTTGTAAGTCTCACTTTCTCAACTGTCACACTATTTACACTTTACAGTTCACACACACAAAAATGAACCGTCAACGCATTTACTGAACAAACAAGATCAATGCTCTATATACATCTGTGTGGACAATATATGCTGGATGGACAAACTCGAAATTCCTCTCACACACACACACTAGCAGTGAGTGCACGCACTTTGTTTGACACACATAGCTGCTACATTTCGACTGAACATGGTGAGAGTGTGAGGTAAGACCGCGGCAATGCTGCACAGCGACACACACCACAGCATTCGATATGTCCGGTTTCCATTTGCTTTTTTTTTTCTTTGAATAAATACCCACATGAAAGACATTTTTTTTGCCGGAAACAGTGGCAATTTATACAATTAAAACAAAACAATAATATACAAAAAACCCAAAAAAACCCACACGCACTCAAACAAAAGAGAGAGAGAGAGAGAGAGAAAAACAATTGTACAACAGTGCTGTTCCCTCTGTAAAAAAGTCTGGTTTAAAAAAAAATTGTTGAGTAACGAGACATCACGTCTACTCTTCCTTAGGAATGTCCGATTGTGACAACAAAGGCGCGCTTTTCAATTCTGGTTCTACGCCTTACACAAATGCGAGGCGTGCTGACAAAATGAGTTACTTCTCGTCTCGCAATCCACAAATGAAGATATTGGCCAAAAATCGATATTAGAGATAGTCAAATATGTGCATTTTCTATTGATGCCACATTATATTTCTTTAAGTATTATAACCTGTCTTTAATTATTTCATATTTATAAATTGCCAAAAACTTCACGTATAAGTGTGATGTATATATATCCGAGAAGTAACCCACTTTGTCAGCACGCCACACAAAAGTTTCTGCTCCACTCCCTCCAAGCTCTCCCCACAAACCTCCCCGAGGGAGCACAAGACATGTCAGACAGAAACAGCAGGCAGGGTTTGCAAATGTCAGAGGCCTGCCATAAAATAAATGTCCGCAATATTCACCCAAGATACTGCGACCTCAGAGCTTTTTGTAGTATCTCCATTTTTGGGGGGTTTTTTTACATTGAAAATGTGACTTCTTCTTCTTAAAACTTTTTCTAAAGCCCACTCTTCGTTATGAACACAGTTTTCACTGTAAAAAAAATAAAAATGTAGATACGACAATAAAGCACTGAGGCCGCGATACGCACACACAACACTTGATCACATACTTTTCGCGTTTTAAGCCTTGCTCAGGCCAACAAAACAAATCGATAGAATATCTTGAACTGACACAGAGAGACCTTTACACAGCTGTCCTCGACAATGCAGATAACATTGCTACTCTACACAAAAAAGCAGATATTTTTCTTCTAACAGGTCTTTTCACAGGATGAACACTTCAAAAAAAGAAGAAAACAAAACAAAACTTCATACGTAAACTGAACAAAATTCAAACTGGCAGGAAAACTTTTGAGGAAAAAACGGGAAGGAATTAATTGTTGGGAATAAAAATAATCACGAAAAGCAAGACTTCCAATATGGAACACCATGCAGGGCTCGTTAACCCTAAGGTAGCGGCACAAGTCACACAACACTTGTCGTTAACCCTAAGGTAGCGGTACAAGCCAACCCTTACGCTCACTACCAGAATTAACACTTTTGGACACGCATGCTCTGGGCCACAATTTTCCCAAACTAACAAACCCAACAACACATTTTCAGCAACTCGCGACCTCAGTGCTTTCTTGTCGAATCTCAATTTTTTTTTTTTAAACAGTGAAAATTAATATGTGACTGCTTCTTAAGCTCACTCTTTACTTTGTTATGAACTGTTTTTGCGGAAGAAAAAAATAATGGAGACACGACAAGAAAGCACTGAGGTCGTGAACTGACATCTAAAATCAAGATCTACTTCAGTCCAGCTACTTCAAAGACACTCACAGACACACATAATCTCTCTCTCTCTCTCTCCTATTTACACTTGTATGTATACATATATTATATATATACACAGCTCAGATATAAACAAGAAGGGACAGGATACTTTCTGTAAGTTCATACATATCTACATCAACTTAAAAAAACCCAATCCCTCATCACATTGCTCCAGGCCCATCCTGTCCCTTTACATATACCGACCTAACAGAACGAACACGTCTCTGTCGGCGCCCCGTCTTCTTACATCTCACAGAGACACATCTAATCTAAAGACACGTGGAAAGACACGTCACCTCGACGGCTACACTCAGAATCACAGAGCTGTTGGCAACACCCAGAGGGACACACACACGAGAGAAGAACCAGCTCTGACAAATCTTCTACGTCTCAACGCCACAACAAGACTTATTTATAGGACTGGTTACTGTACAGAAAGCAGTTTTGATACAAGTACTTGAAACTTGAGAAGAAATGTACAAATACTACACTTGATTTGAGCTAAATTCCTTTATATCTTCGAGACCATTAAAAAAAAAATACTGTTAATTAATTTAGATCTTATGATTCCCTTTGCAAACAGGGTCAAGTTTTTCTCAAACCATATGTACATATATGTCAAGGGGCAACACGTGTGTTAGGAGACTTTTATACTTTTTGAACATAAACACACTATACAAAATCTTTTTTTTTTTTTTTCATTTAAGTACTTTTAAACTCTGTGAGTAATCAAGTCATCAACATAGACGGAAAATGAATCTTAAAAACACACACATTCTCTTTTTTAAATCTACATTTCACTGGTCTATTGAAAAAGTTCTTAAATAAAATAAAAAGCAAAGGCTTTTCCAGCTAGTATGCTGTATGTTATGCTCCAATGGTATGTATGTACGCTCCAATGGTACGTATGTTCAATGGTACGTATGTATGCTCCAATGGTATGAAAAAAGTGATCTCCACATATGACTACCCTGTTACTGATGATGATGAAGTCCTAGTGTCACAAACTACATCATAAACTGGGAGGTGGGGGTGGTGGGGTGGCAGGAGGTGGAGGTGGGGGTGGTGGCGGTCCCTTCAGGTTGGGCATGGGAGGCAGGGGGGGTTTCTTGGCGTCCATGCGAGCCCGGTGCTGCGCCATGAGCTGGTGGAAGCGCTCGTGGTGGGGCGGGTTGGGCACATCTGTGGTCGGGGTGACGGGCGGGAAGCCGTGAGAGTTGTCTTCCTCCTCATCGCTGTCGTCGAAGATGTTGCTGGGGAGGGTGGAGGTGAAGGCGTCGTTGATGCTGAACCCACTGTTCTGGTGGTGGGGAGGGGGGTGGTGGGGGTGGCCACCGGCGGAGCTGTTCATGTCGGGATACATGCCGAGACGCTGAGCCTCCTGGAGTCCCATGGTAGCCGACGGCGCCGGGCCGAGAGAGGACGGGTAGCTCGAGGCGGCCACAGAGCCTGTGCGCGCCTGTTTGGATGGACGCTCGTCGTAGTAGTCTACAGCAGAGGAAGAAGAGCGCTTGCTCGACTTGCCCTCGTGGCGCGAGCTCGAGTGTTTGCTGGAGTGCTTCTTGCTCTTGTTGTGGTGGTGGTGGCTCTTGTGGTGGTGGCTCTTGTGGTGGTGGTGGTGGCCCGAGGAAGACGAGGAAGAGTCGCGGTCACTTCCTGCACCGTTCATCTCAACGTCTCGACCGCGGCCGGACTCGCTGGACTTGGGCACGGGGAGACGGATCCGTAGACCACCGCCGCTGCTCCCCTCGGGCTTTCGCTGGCTGCCTCCTGGCGTGGAGGTCAGAGTGGGCGCTACAGAGTCGTCGACGATCTCTCCTTCCTCTCGCGGGGTGCTCGAACGGGAGCTGGACCCACTAGGACCGGCCGTCTCCTCAGGGATACTGACGGGCGGGTCGGAGCGGATGGGTTTGATCTTAATTTTCAAGCCAGAGTCCGTGTACTTGACGGCGTGACGCTCGCCGGTGGCCGGGTCGCGCTTGAGCTTGATCTTGTTGCGAGGGTTCGGGCTGTCTACGGGGACGCTGAAGGGCGAGGACACATCGCCAGCACCGCCAGACGCGGAAAGTCTCGGGACTCGCGAGGACACGTCTGCTGGTGAGTTCGTAGCTGAGCGATCAGAGGACTCAGCGGAAATGTTCTCCAGCATGGCCGCCCCGGGGTAGGCAGAAGTAGGCGGGGGCTGCGCTACATCTCGATCCGTAGGGGGAGCGGAAACCTGGCCACTCTGATCCAGACTGGTGGCCAAAGCTTTTGACCGGGCGCGGTCGCGGTACGAAGCCAGCGAGATCTTGGGGCCCTGGGCGGGGGGAAGTTTTTGTGATCTGCCGGGCGCTCCTCCAACTTCAGGACTCTGGGTCCTCCCCTCGGTGAATGCTGCCAGGTGGCTGCTCATGTCTGGGGCGTCGCCCGCCTGAGGTAGGTTCGTGCCAGTGGCTTCTGGCGGGCTGGGCGGGCGG